CGACGCGGCCAAGCACAGGCTGCTGGTGCTGGTCAAGGACAATGGCGAGCCCGCGCTGTCTGCCAGCGTCACGCTGCACGTGCTGCTGGTGGATGGCTTCTCGCAGCCCTACCTGCCGCTGCCGGAAGTGGCGGCCGACCAGGCGCAGGCCGACCCGCTGACCGTGTACCTGGTCATCGCGTTGGCGTCGGTGTCGTCGCTGTTCCTGTTCTCGGTGCTGGCGTTCATCGCGGTGCGGCTGTGCAGGCGGAGCAGGGCCGCCTGGGTGGGTGGCTGTTCGGTGCCTGAGGGCCACTTTCCGGGCCACCTGGTGGACGTTAGCGGTACTGGGACCCTGTCTCAGAGCTACCAGTATGAGGTGTGTCTGATGGGAGGTACTGGGACAGATGAGTTTAAATTTCTGAAGCCTATTATCCCTAATTTCCAGACCCAGTGCCCTGGGAAAGAAATAGAGGAAAATCCTACCTTCCACAATAGCTTTGGGTTCAATATTAAGTGACCATAATTACCTTTTATACCCCATGTGTATTTTTATTTTGTGCCACTTCCATATCAGTGTTTCCTTTCCTAATACGTGGGTATTTTAAATATGACTTAAAATTGATTTTAGAGAGACAGGAAGCGAGAGGGAGAAAAACATTGATAGGCTGACTCTTGCATGGCCCCCTACTAGAGATTGAGCGGCCACCTAGAGATGTGCCCTGACTGGGAATCTAGCAGGTGATCTCTCAGTGCATGGGAAGATGCTCAATCAACTGAACCTTACTGCCCAGGATTCAATATGTGGGTTTTTAAAATTGCACTGAGGTTAGTTTTATATTTTCGCATGTTCTACCCACCTTTACTTTTAAGTGAATGTTTATCATTATTTGTGGTTGTAATAAGGTGGTGATTTATTCTCTAACCCAGGAGGTCTTCATTTGTAATTAATTTGCCTCCTTAAATAACAATACCAAATCACTGTTTGTCCTTGACCCTCTCTGCAATTGAACTTTCACCCACAATTAGGCTTATGGTAAAATAATGCAGACCACTTTCAAAGTATTTTAAGTGTTCAAGCATTTCTTCTTCTTTTTTGCTTTTTTCTTGTGGTTTAATCATGGTTGTATTCAGAAATGCCACTTTTCTTTCTTTAACATCTCACTGCATTTTAGTTAACATTTAAAAAGGTTTATTACTATTGAAAATATACATGAAAATTCATGTCCTATGATACAAACATGAGTGTAGTCAACTTTTTAGAAAGGTCAATTTTTTTTAAGCATTGCTTCATTATTCTTTCTGGAGCATGATTGTGAAGGCACATTGATATTGTGACCACTCATAGAATCTTGGAATATGAAATTATAATCTTCCAGATGTCTCATGAATGTTCCAAAGCTATAATGCAATCCAGTTGAAAACTGGCACCTGAATAATATCTTGTATAGCATAAATCGGGCTTGAGTGCTACTGTGTACACACACACACACACACACATACATACACACAGAGTGGGCACTGATTTTCAAACTTAAACAATTATAGCCAATAGAAAAATTATATTGTATATAACATAATTTCTTTGTAACATACAAAGAAATGTTTTTCAATAACACTCAGATTTCTTGTTGATGCAATCTAAAATTGCCTGTATTATTTTATTCTATTTCATTTTCAAATGTGGTCATCATACATTGATTTAGTGACCTACTAATGGGTAGCAATCCCAAGTTTGAAATCCACTTTACTCAGAGATATATATAGATGTGTGTAGAACATTGAAAAGTATCAAAAGGTAGTCCTTTAATACTTTAATTTTAAAAATTTCAAACCATTGTCGAAGGATGAGTTGTCTCATTGCTATATAGGAACCAATCAACCATTCTTGCCTTTAGTGAATTGACTACATTATAGAATAAAAAACCTTTATTGTTTGAGTAGGAATTTTCCAATAAATTTTATCAAAAATCTAAAGCCTATATGTTGTGGAAAGAAAGTGTAGATGGCCAAAATGTGTCAGGTATAGAGGGAGAGAGAGAGAGAGAGAGAGAGAGAGAGAGAGAGAGAGAAGGCATTGGAAAGAGATGAGTGAGAATGAGTAAAATGGTTGCTTCTAGTGCTTCTAATGCTGCAGACTAGAATGAATGCCAGAAAGAACATCCTGAGGATATTTTTTAAACTTTTTCTTAACATTGTAGAGGGGCTGGGTATTAGTCAGTTAATATTGCCAGGAAGCACAATCTCTTGCTCTACCTTGTCCAAAATAATCTGTTTAAACATCTTGAAAGCTATGATTTTATTACCAGTGCTTTTGAACTTTGTGGGCTGATTATTTATTCTTTGAATTCAAGACAAATGGAGGGAACAAATTAAATTCTAATTTTTCACTTTTGGAAGTGGAGCTAAGAGCAAGTTCTTTTCCCCTCTAAATGAAAGCTGCAACAAAAGTCCATACTATATTAATAAATCAGTTAAGTATTAAATTACTTCCTGTTTTTACTGTACTTAGTGGGGAAATGATGGAGGACCACTAGCTTAAAGAGATATAATGTGTTATAGCTTTCTACCATGCCAGATGATAATAATCCTAGGAGCTAAATACTATCATTACCCCTATTTTACAGGTCAGGAAACAGAGGTACATAAGTTGCCCAAGACAGCAGATAGTAAGTGGCAGATTAGAATTCTAATGTAGACATTGTTGTTTTAAAATCCATGTTTGTAATCACTATGTTGTGTTGCCTCTGAGGTCTAAGATGTCCCTTCTAGGTCTTTCTATGTTATTCTTTATGCATATATTGTGACATATTTTAATTACTTTCTGCCAAATTTTCTAGTCTGTGAGCTCCATAAAGACAAGGGTTATCTCTGTCTTATATGCCATGTCCTTATATGTGTATTTTAAAAAATACATAAATGAAAAAGCAATGATGTTACTAACTATAATCGACTGAACTCAAATATTTACAAGAGTTGAGAAGAGAGTATATTTGCAATTAGTCAAGAGATGGCCTGAATAAAATATCATTTCTTCAGTTCAAGACATTTTTATAGATTTTTCTTGTCAGGCATTCAAACCAGTGATAATTAAATGCACTACATAGACCGAGTTTGGATCCCATTGGAAACAAACCAACAATTAAAAACATTGTTGGAAAAAACTGGGGAAACCAAGAATAGACTGGGAATAAATTATATCAAGGAATTATTGCTAAATGGGTTGATTTTGATAGTGGTACAGTAGTTATATTTTTAAAGTCCTTATCTATTACAGATACTTAACGAAGTATTTAGAGTTAAAACTATGATGTCTGGGATTTGCTTTAAAATATTCCAGATGTATTAATGAATTACTTCTTCAAAGAGAAAACAATCTTTACTGAAAAAAATTCATAGAGACACATGGTGGCGCTGCAGGATAAGATGAAAACCGTGCATGGACCACACTGTGGACTCCATTATTCAAGGGAACAGAGAACAGTCAACTCATTCAAGAGAGGTGTTTAGGAGCTTCACTTTCAGAGCTGCCGGGAGGGCTCTACACCCTCCAGGGTTTACTTATTCTAAAAAATCAGAGCTTCGGCTCCCAAAATTAGGGCTAAACTTAAATTTTTCCACAAAGGAGATTGCTTGAAGGAACCATGGCGATCAGAGGAGCGCTCACTTTGCTGAAAAGGCAAGTCGCAATTCTCTTTGTTTTGCTGGGATTGTCTGAGGCGGGTCCTGACTCTGTGCGCTATTCTGTGGCAGAGGAAGCAGAAATTGGCTCTTTTGTGGCCAATCTGGCAAGGGATCTGGGGCTTGGGGTGGAGGAGCTGTCCTCCCGGGAGGCCCGGATAATTTCTGATGATAATGGCAGGCATTTGCATCTCAATTTATTGACTGGGGATTTGCTCCTAAATGAGAGACTGGACCGAGAGGAGCTGTGCGGCTCTGCAGAGCCCTGCGTATTGCATTTTCAGGTGTTATTGCAAAACCCTTTAAAGTTTTTCCGGGCTGAGCTGCACATCAAAGATATAAATGATCACTCCCCTACATTCTTGGACAAGGAAATACTTTTGAAAATATCAGAAGGTACCACTCTTGGAACGGCATTCCCAATGGAGAGTGCCCAAGATTTGGACATAGGAAGCAACAGTCTCCAAAACTATACAATTAGCCCCAATTCTCATTTCTACATTAAAATTCAAGACAGCGGTGATGGAAAGATATACCCAGAACTGGTCCTAGACAGAATGTTAGATCACGAAAAGGAGCCTGAGCTCAGATTAACACTTGTAGCACTGGATGGTGGATCCCCACCCAGGTCTGGGACAACATTGGTCCTCATCGAGGTCTTGGACATCAATGACAACTCCCCTGAGTTTCCGCAGAGGCTCTATGAGGTGCAGGTCCCAGAGGACACAGCCATTGGCTCCTGGATAATCACCATCTCTGCTAAGGACTTGGATGCAGGACATTATGGGAAAATATCTTACATATTTTTCCATGCATCTGAAGATATTCGTAAGACATTTGAAATCAACTCAACATCTGGTGAAGTTCGTTTGATATCTAGCTTGGACTTTGAAGTAATACAGTCTTACACTGTAAATATTCAGGCAACAGATGGTGGGGGGCTTTCGGAAAAATGCACTCTTCTGATTAAAGTAATGGATATAAACGATAACGCACCAGAAGTGACCATGTCATCAATTACAAACAGAATTCCAGAAAACGCGCCACAGACCTTTGTCGCTGTTTTTAGTATTCGAGACCAAGACTCTGGGGACAATGGAAGGATGGTTTGCTCTATTCAAGATGATCTCCCTTTTATCCTGAAACCAACATTTAAGAATTTTTTCACTCTGGTTTCTGAAAAAGCACTGGACAGAGAGATGAGAGAGGAGTATAACATCACCATCACTGTCACCGACTTGGGAACCCCCAGGCTGAAAACTCAGTACAACATCACCCTGCTGGTCTCCGACGTCAACGACAACGCCCCCGCCTTCACCCAAACCTCCTACACCCTGTTCCTCCGCGAGAACAACAGCCCCGCCCTGCACATCGGCAGCGTCAGCGCCACAGACAGAGACGCGGGCGCCAACGCCCAGCTCACCTACTCGCTGCTGCCGCCCCACGACCCGCAGCTGCCCCTGGCCTCGCTGGTGTCCATCAACGCGGACAACGGCCACCTGTTCGCCCTGAGGGCGCTGGACTTCGAGGCGCTGCAGGCGTTCGAGTTCCGCGTGGGCGCCACG